GGTCTCTTTAAATTTTCTATCTCCCCTAGAGTACCTCCCCAGTGTTTTAAATTTAAAACTTGACTTAGATTGATTTTCATAGAAATATTCCAAGGATATATTTACAGCATATAGAAAATTATAGCAACACAGTACAAGTTTAAATAATTATTCATTTTACTCATTAGTGGCCACCTGGTTATTCTGATGTTACCTGTCACTCCACACAGGTTCCAGAGCTGATACTCCTAACCAATCATGGAGCTTTTTCTTACTTCTCAACATACTACTCCAGTCAGTTATTACTGATCAATTGGAGTTGGCAAGTCATCCTTATTCTAGAAGCACTAAGAAATTTCTCAATCAACACTGAGTACTGTACATTTATTGGAAACAGTAGAATATAATCCCTAATTATAACATAAGTAACACTATACAAAAAAAACCCCACAAAAAACAGCAAAAGTAACTGCCCAGATAAACAACAGTAAAGAACATAGGATTCAGAATTAAACCTGGATTAGGAACCCAGCTCTGACACTTACTAGCTGTGTGACCTTGGGTTACTAATGTAACTTCTCTGAGACTAAGTATCCTTGCATGTAAAACAGGAATAATAAGAATAACCTTAAAAAAAAAACAAAAAACCCCAAACTCAGTGCCCTGAAGATGGATCTGACTCACAGCGACCACTCCTTGGGTTTCCGAAGAAGTATCACTATGGAAATAGATTGACCAACCTTCCTTCCAAGGAGTGGCTGGTGGGTTTGAACCGCCAGCCTTCTGGTTAGCAGTCACATGTCTTAGGTACTATGCTACCAGAGCTCCTTATACCCTAATTGTTGTTGTGTTGTTATGTGCTGTGGAGTTGGACCTGACTCAGTGACCCCTCCTTGGGTTTCCGAGGCAGTATCACTATAGAAGTAGATTGCCCAGCCTTCTTTCCAAGGAGTGGCTGGTGGATCTGAACCACCAGCCTTCTGGTTAGCAGTCAAGTGCCTTAGGCACTATACCACCAAAGCTCCCAAGCCTTTTAAGGATGTTGTGAGGATTAATATGAGAAAGCATGTAATACTTGATCAATGGTAATTCATCATAAAATCATAGAATTTCTAGAAAGGGCTTTAGGAACATCCTTAAAAAGAAAATGGACATTTACAAAGTGCCTTCTAGGTCCTAGCACCTTTCATTTATTTAGTCCTGACAGCCTTAAATCCAAAAAAACAAACCCATGCTATCAAGTTGACTCTGACTCATAGTGACCCTTTTAGGGCAAAGCAAAACTGCCCCATAGGCTTTCCAATGCTGTAGATCTTTACGGAAGCCAACTGCCTCATCTTCTTTCCATGGAGTGGCTGGTGGGTTCAAACCACCAACATCCCGGTTAGCAGCTGAATGCTTTAACCACCAGAGCTCCTCACAGTGGTCTTACTAACCCCATTTATAGACTGGAAATTGAGGTTCAAAGAAATAATTTGTTCAGGGCCCCAAAGATGAAAAGTAACAGAATATCATTCAAACATGGGTCTTTCTTTCTGAATCCAAAGCCATGTTATTTTTATTGTGTCACTGTATTATGTACAAATGTAATCTCTCTATCCTAGAGAGGGAGAGATAAATTTTCCATAGTCCCTGAAAGAAATTTTAGAATGGCCAAGAAAAAAATGTACCGACAATAAGCACTTGAAAAAAGTGAAGAATCACTTTCCAAGTCTTAAACAAAGATAATGACTCTAATCATATGACCTTATAAGAAACAATACCAAGAAATCATTGTTATAAACTTTTTGAAATTGCTTACTATGGCCATAATATATTAGCTATAACAAAGGAGAACAATATGAAAGAACTAGAAATCCTCTTACAATCAGTAAGGTGAACTAAAATCACCTTAAAGATAAAATAATCAATGAAAGGGAAGACAGAAAAACTTACTGTCTTAAGACTTAAGATCTCTCTCCTTCCCCCAAAAAATCCATTCAATAAAATCCAAACATAAGTTGTTTTATTGTAATTAACAAAATGTAGACCAGAGAGAGAAAGAGTGAGAGCTCTATTTTGATTTATAATCTGTTCACAAGTATCTAAGACTCTGACTAATGGTAACCCCATATACATCCATGTTCAATGGCTTCAGGGTTTCCAATGGCTGATTTTTCAGAAGTAGATCACCAGGCCTTTCTTCTGAGGTGCCTTTTGTTTAGTAAGTGAGCATGTTAACCACTTGCACTACCCAAGGACACCCTCAGAGGTTTAAGTACACCTAAGGAAATCTAATTTAGTTATATTTCCAATTTTGATGTTAGCAGTAAGAATGTCAAGAAAATTCTACTTCCAGAAATATAACTGAAAAATCTCATCAATACAGTTTTTATCTGTGGTCATCCACCAGAGCATACTTTATTGAATGGTACTACATCCTGAAATAGCCCCACATCCTGCCTAAAGACTGAATAATAGAATGAGGAGACTACTGAATGCAAAGAATAATTTATTTAAATATATTAGATCCAAGCTTAGAAGAGAAAGCCAAGAAAAATAAAACTGACTCTCCCTCTAGAGAAATCTCTAGGAAACCTCACAAATATAACATAAAAACTTTTTGTACTAACAGAATGTAACGAAACCGAGGGCTCATACCAAAACACAAGGGGAACATGATCCAACAATGAAATATTTTTATTAAATAATTATGAAAGTGCCATGTATAAATAATATTTCATATAGGTACTACATATGAGCTAATTCTCCCAAAATGCTAAGCCCCTGTCAGACCCTTACTGGGGTGCCTGGTTTAGCTCTAGGATCACAAATTTAAGAGTTTCCAGGCATAACATATCCCTGAGCATTAATACCACAGTCAACGAGGTAAAGAATAACCCAGATGCAGATGAGATGCCAAAGCAACAGCCAGGGGCAGAAATAAAAGTGAATAGAAACATGAGAGCACCTAGCACTCAAATATAACTGCTTTCTTTTTGCACTGAAATAACCAGTTTTGTAACCAATCACAATTATAATAAATGTGTTCTGTACACTGTGCGTTGATAACTGCAACCCACAAGAAAAATCAAGGCCACAGGCAAATAATATTTGTTTTAATTCAGAGAGATACTTATCATTTGATAAATCAAAAGCCTCCATTATACTACTGGTAGAACTGCTGGACTGAATCCTAAGACACAACATACTCATTAGTTCATTTAATAATTAAGAATTAAAAAGTGAGCTCAAAAGCCATTACAGAGTTCTGGCTGGGCAGATACCTATTTTCATGCAAAATTCATTCTTCTCCTCTGTTATAAAATTATATATAACATGATTTTGATATACGAAATATGTATTTTTCCAGTGGAAAAAAAGGGAGCAAAAATTCAGGTAGATAAATTATGTTTAAAAAAATGGCATTTATTAGTTAAAAGCTACTCTTTTGGTGGTAAAAATCCTGTCTTCCACTTCCTAATTCACCAATCTCAATAATAAAAAGCACTGGGTGATAGATGGTATAGTGAAATATCTATTCCCAACAGTGGCCACATGTCTCCTCTTATATTTATAACTCAAATTTAAAAAGTGAGGCACTGATTAATAAGATGTGTTTAAAAGCAAAGTTAAAAGCCAAAAGGCCATATACACTGTAGAAACTAAAAGTTTGAGTTCTCACCTAAACGTAACAAATTCACATCATATTAAAATAATCTGATGTAGCACAGTTCATTTACCTACTGACATTGTGAATCACAACAAATAGATGAGAGAAAATAAAACAGATTTGGAGAAACAAAATCATGGGTCCTGTTGAATATTCTATATATGAGACTGGCCATTTATATTATTCTATCAAAATTTTTATGAAACATGAAAAAAAGAATTACATTTTTAGTTCATAAACATAGAAAGAAAAGCATAAACACTCAATGAATTAACCTACTAATGAAGTTAGCTGTTCTTAATCCAGTCTAGCAAAGGATGTGGAGCCATATACAAGCACCTTTAGTTCTGGATGTTTTTTAAGAGGTACTGATTTTGTTGGATTAACTAAGTTTTTTCTTTCAGGGGAAGGAAGGGGTAAATCTGGTGTGTGTATTTTTCTAAAGTCATCATTTCGGATGGTTTACTGTAAAAGTCTGTGTCTTACTGCTATTCTCCTCTCTTCCACTATACAAACTGCACAGAACTGGTAGGTAGCATTGTTACAGAATACAGTAACAACATAGACCACAGCATTTGTTGTAGAATTCACTGTAATTTAATGTTAAAACGAGTTATTTACCATAACTAAATAAGAGTAAATGGCAGGATAAGAAGTAAGCATTTTACAGATCACTTCTCTACCAGAGAATCTTCCATAACAGTAATCTATCTGCAGCAACAGATATTTTGGAGTAGTGAACCACGGTGGAAGACTTGAATTCCTGTGCCTTATCGAAAATGATCTGAAATGGGTACCATATTTACATGTGAAAAAAGAAATGAGAGACATGTTTCAATTTCTGAGAGCATGCGTAAAATCTGCTAATCTGTTTCCTCCCTGAGGGAGGAAATTACCTGGGAAACCAGAAAACAAGTAACAGTCTCTGGAACAATGCTGCTTAAAAGTAGGTACACACACACACACACACACACACACACTATGCACATAGGTGCTCACTGAGTCTAAAGCTACACACAACAAATTACTTGTTTTGTGATAAAGGAAATTTTATTTTAAAAATAAACTTGATAATTCTATCACAAAATAGCTACAAAATAAAGCTAAAACTGAGGAACAGCTAATTTAAGAGCTTATCATACTGGTCTTTCATTAAGGCTCAAAAGCCTCCACTGAAAAAATAGGGGTCCCAGTTGGAAGCAGTGTTTAAATAACAATTCTTCTACCAGCTTCAAGGAGGTACATGATTGTTACATGATTGTAACAGACTAAGTTTTATTTCTCTTTCTTTCATAACTTTCTCTGGGAATTAAGTTATTCTAAGTAAAACACAAACAGGAAGAGGCACTCATAAAGTACGCAAACTTACCCCGCCTGACAACTTAATCACCCTGACTTTGGAGCTGATGTGCGGCCCGTCTCCACTACCACTGTTTGCCCGCTGCATGACCGTCCTTTTCACTCCAGGTTTTACTTCCTGGGGCCGGCCTTGGACAGAGGCCACTCTGGCAGTTTGTGGTGAAGGTGGCAATTCCTCCATGTCAGCAGGTTTTACGTGTAATACCTTGAGAGACGGCTGAGTTTGAGTTTGAGGTACTGTTCTGGCCTGTCTCAAATGTTTCAGTGGTTTCAGTTGTTGTCCTTGAAACTGTATATTAGCACCAGATGGTACAAAACTTGTTGCTTTGGGCTGAACACTTGAAATAGCAACATCTTGGTTTTTAACAAGAAGTCTGGTTTTCACATTTTGTCTGACCTGTGCACCTGGAAAGGGTAACAACGGGTTACCATTGGTGGGTAAAGGTGAAGACGTCCGTTCTTCTTGTTCTACTGGGAGTTGGGGGACATAAAGCTGCTGCTGCTGTTGCTGTTGCTGCTGCTGTGCAAGTCTTTCAAGTAATTCCTTCTTTCGAGCACCAGCCTGCTGTTGCCGTCGTAACTCCTTTTGTTTCAGGATTTCTTCTCTTAGGCGTTTCTGTTCTTCTATTTTTAAACGATATAATCTTGTTTCTTCATCTTCATCAGGAAACTAAAAAAGAAAACAAAGCACACATGGCTTATTTTGGGGTACAAGGCAAGGTGACCACTCTGATCTATTTTAACAAACTAAGTAAGTGCATTTCTCAAAGACCCTTTAACTCAGTATTTGAAAGAAGTCATTCAAAATCTGCTTAAAGACTAAGTAGAACTCTTTCCTCTAGGGAGGGAGAAAAAAATTACACAGCTAAAGCTAATTTGGAAAATCTTATCAGAATATTAAAAAATGAAATAATGTAAATTTCTACTCATTTACAAGTTTGAAACCAATTAAACTATTCATTTAAGATATCAAAATATATTTCAAATGGAAATGGCAACAATACTGAGGTACCCGCTGTCACACAGGTTTTATCTTGCTCTTTTCTGACAAACTAACAAAAGACAGGGTGGGTAAATGACCTGAAAGGCCCTGATTAGAACTATTGATTTTTCTTACAGAATTTTCAGCCTGATCTCAAACTCATTTGTCACAGAATAATTGGTTATAATGAACAGCACAAGTCAATCTCTTTGACCTTGAACTCATGTACTCCCCTCAGAATCAAAATGTTGCCAATTGCAGTATTGGAATATTAATGGATATATATATAAAGAACCTTTTAATATTCTGGCCCCTGATCATTCTGAAAGTTACTCAAATAATCTGAAAAGGTCCAGTAACTTCCATAAAAAGCATCCAATCCTTATAAAAAGTTAAAGATTTTTAAAAAGTAATAATAATTTTCTTTTTTAAAAATCTTACATATCCTCACCTACAGATTATTTTCAAAAGAATGGAACAGTGTTTATCTAAAATTCAGTGGGCTATTTAATAACTGTATCTACCCTGAGTAAACCTTAAGTAACAAGAATTTAAGACTAAAATACAGCTGAAGAGTCAGCTGATATTCTTGTAGTCCATGCATTTTATTTACAGGACAGAGAGTTGGACCCTTACACAGAGCTTACCTGTCATTTTGTGAACAATTCCTACCTATGTGGTTATCTGATTTCAAAGTCTAGGAGAGATTTGAAGCAGCAAATTTGAAAGTGGGTGAGGGGCCATTATATAGGTAGGTATATGGAGCAAGAGAAGGATGTTATGCTTGGTAGGGTGGAGGGTCGACAAAAGAGGGGGAGGCCTTCATGAAGATGGATTGATACGGTGGCTGCGATGATGGGCTCAAGTATAGCAGGGATTGTGGGGCTGGCGCGGGATCGGGCAGTGTTTCCTTCTGCTGTGCATGGGGTTGCTATGAGTCGGAAACGACTCGAAGGCACTTAACAACAACAACAATGGAGCAAGAAATGGCATCAGGGGAAAAGACAGAAAAACAGTAAGAGGTGAATGTAGCAGTTCAAAAAGCTAAGGAACCAGGCCCATCTAAAGCCAACAGCTATAAACATATTAGCAGGTTTTAAGATATAGGAATAGTTAATGTTCATTAGGATTTTCCCCAAGCCATCAAGGAAAGTTAAAATAGATTTAGGACTCTGGATAGAAATACTTTAGAAAGATTTCCATCTAAAGAGATTTGTCCTTTATTATAGCATTATCAATGGCATGAGTGTAAGAATATAAACCATTCACTTAAGCAAAACAATTAAAGATTTTCTTTTAAGAAGTAAAAAAATTAAACAAATTCTGCTCCCAGGCCTATTCTATGTACACAGAAAATTAACAAAGCAAACAAATTAAGATATTCATTTACTCATCATCATTTAAGTTTTCATACTTGAATTCTTCAGAAGCCTACCTAAATCAGCTATTATGAAAGGAACAGATAGCCAGAGGTGGCTAGTGGTATGCATTGAAGGTCACTTTTGTCATGTTATTTTGGCCACAGTTGTTATAAAAAAAAAATGTGCATAATTTAATTTTTCTGAACCAAATTAGCTTACACATACAAATTTTTGTATAAACTAGAAGTATTATAAAATTGTAAGCAAATAATTATTTTTATAAACTAACCGCCCTGATCCAGTTTGTAAATCTAGATTATTTTTTCAGATATTGATTTTAAAATTCAAAAAGTCACCCTTCTATCAAAATTGGGTTAATAACACATACCATTACAACGTTACAATACTTTATTAGAAAAAAATATAAACACCCCCCCAAAAAATAGTAACTATAATTAAACTGATAAAAAATAAAACCAGTGCTTTATCTGCTTTTTATAAAATTAAGAAAATATAACTTTCCTAAATTCTATTCTAAGGAAACTCTTTATATGCCAATTATTATTTTATTAATGTGTTAATGTATTATCCTAATTCATTAAATTCTATATAAAGTTTATCAATGTATTAATAGTTCCCATGTATTGATCTCTTACCATATTTTAGGCAACAACACTGCCTTGTTTAATTTCCATTTAACAGATAAGGAACTTGAAGCTTAAAAGGAGTGAAAAAACTTGCCCAGGGTCACACTAATCACAAGTGACAGACAGGTCATGCCAAAGGCCATGTTTTCAGGCATCCCATAGTGATGCAAACAGCGAGCTCTAACAGCATAGTGCCTAAGGCGTCTGACTGCTAAGCAAAAGGCTGGCAGTTCAAACCTGGGCAATCTACCTCCATGAAGATTTACCACCTCAGAAAATGGGTCGCTATAAGTTGGAATCGACTCTATGGCAGTGAGTTTATTTATTTATTTTTTTGACGACTTCACTTTGTTAGTTTCTAAGTTTTATAGATACTGGCCAATTTTTATACCTGTATTTCAAGGGAGGAGTCTGGAAATAAGTATCTATTGTATGTAGCATGAGATGAATCACATTCATTTCTTTTATAGGAGATCAATGACCACTACAGGTTTGTCCCAGCCATAGATTTTATTGATACTTAACAAGAGTTAATTAGAAACTTCACCACCAACATACTATTAACTAATATAAACACACACACTCCCAGCAAGAATAATCAAGTGGCCAAAACTAAACGAAGGTGCAAATAAAACAACTGGAACCATGCAAAATATTTATGTTGTTGTGTTGTTATATGCTATGAGTCAGACCTGACTCATAGCAACCCCTCCGTGGGTTTCTGAGGCAATATCACTATGGAAGCAGATTGCCCAACCTTCCTTTCGAGGTATGGCTGGTGGGTTTGAACCACCAGCCTTCTGGTTAGCAGTCAAGTGCCTTAGGTACTACACTACCAGAGCTCCTAAATATACATTCATTATTTATACTTACAACATTTTGTATCTATTAAAAATTAGCAACTATATAATAATTTAAAACAAACCAAAGCCCCAAAAACATTACTTACAACAAAAGTAAAGATGGTGTTATCTTCCAGTAGTTTACAGATAAAACAAAAAGTCACAGAAAGGTAATTACATATACATATCAGTGATCAGCAAACTAACTTCAGGCCAAATCTGGCCCACCACCTTCTTTCATAAAATAAAGTTTTATTAAAACCATGCCCATTCACTTAAGAATTATCTATAACTTCTTTTGTACTAATAGTTATGAGAGTCTGGACAATAAACTCTAAAATACTTACTATCATGTCCTTTACAGAAAGTTTACTAACCTCTGGTACATACAGATTCTAAATCATACCATATAATTTTATAGATAGAGAGAGCAAATCTAATATTGCAAACCAGTGAAAATACAAGTATATCTTATATGGACATAGTTATTAAGGTAAAAAAAGGACTGTGGTAGTGAAATTTGTATGTCAACTTGGCTGGGCCTCATTGAGAGGCTGGGCAGCCAGTGGTAGTTATTCCCCATGATGAGACTGGCAATCAACTCCATGGTGGGATCTACCACAAGGAGTTGAGTAGCTGCCCTTGGGATGTGGTCTGCTTCCTGTATATAAAGAGAAGCCTTGGGAATAGTCTCTAGCATGGTACACTTGGACCCTGCATGTAGCCGTGTCGTTGTTCAGCAGCCTGCCATGCTCTGCTGACCTTGGGACTTACAATGGACTTAAATTAATGGCCTGCCTTGTGGTTTGTAACATCGGGACTGTGCCTTTTTACTTGTCAACTTTGGGCTTCTCAGCCGCAGCAGCCAGCAGCTGTCTGAGTGAAGAAATACCTCTCGCTCCAGTGGGCCGGGAGCAGGAGGCAGAGCTGAAGCCCAAGGCTGAGGGGCTTTCACCCAGCCTCTAGAGCCTGGCACTTTGAACTTGAACTTAAAGCCTCCAAACTGTAATAAAATAAACTCCTGTTTGTTCAAGCCATCCCATTTGTGTATATTCTCATCAGAGTGACACTAGATAACCAAAACAAAGACCCAATTCAAGATGTAGTTGAAACAAAAAAGTGGGAAAATTCTGTGAAACCAGTAAAGACTGAACTAATTAAGAAGTTCAGGTTAATTAAAAAGGCTTCTTGTTTGCAACAAAGTGTTTTGTTTTTTCTTTAAAAAGTCCTACCTCTGGTTCTGTTTTTGCTTCTTCTTTAGGTTGAACCACAGGACTAACAGGCTTGACTTTCACTTCAGTCTTTCCCTGCGCATTCCTGGAAGCCACCACAGATCTCATGGGCGGTGATGTGCTTATAATAGGTTTGACTTGAGCTGCAGGCGTAGAGGAGCAACGACTGTTACTCATTTCTATGACATGTGATGGGGCTATTGGTAGTTCACGCAAATTACTATTTCTTGGAGCAGTTGGTTGCATTTGCTGAATTGGCCGTTTGGTTACATTCTGTGAAGTTGTGTTCTGTCACAAGAAGAAAAGAAATTGTAATTAAAACTGGAAACTCAGGAAGAAACCTAAAAAGGCACATTGTTCAATAAAAGCATTATACTTCTCCTTTGGGAAATGGGTGCTCTTCTCATTGGTAAATAAATACTTTTTTCTCATGCATAACTTTTCTCTGATCTATGGAGCAGCATATCTTCATTTTAAGGACTCGAACTATTAAAAGTTATCATACTTGCATATCAGTATGCTCCGTTTTAAAGAAATTATACCAGTGTGATTTTCAGCTAGTGCTTCAAAAGATTGAGTCCATTTACCATGAGGATTGACATTTTTAACAGAATTAGTAACACCAACAAATGACTCTGACTGCCAAAAGCAATCAACTGGATTAATGGTATTAACTCTTTTACCTAGTTACCTACATTTAAGGTGGAACAAGAAAAGAAATCAAGCGTTAAAGTCAATGTCCTAACAAAAAGTACTCTCTGGAGGAAAAGATGCCAAAAAGTTTACCAGAGAGGAAATTCTCAGTCATGTTTATCCTAGGGACTCTTAAAAGAGAGACCAACAGCTAAGAGAGATCCAACTCTAGAAGAGTTTATAGATAACTGACATAGCAAGAGGGAAGAATTTAGCTCTAAGATCACTCAGGTCAAATATTTAGACACAAGGCTACTAATATCTTCTGCCATTATTCTAACAAAATGAAATCCAGATTATAAAGCACCTTCTTCTGCGATCTAAAAATCCTTTCTTCTTTCATTTTAGTTTCTTTGTTAATTTAAGAGGCAGGTATCAGAAAAATTGAGATAAAAACTGGCTAAGTAACATGCTTGAAGCAGAAGGGTATAAAACCTGAAGGACTAGAGAAGTACATGACAACAGAAGACAGTCATTAACTTATTTATTCAGATCCCTGAGATAGAGGTAATTGATGCATCAAGAAGTAGTTTACTGGCAAAAGTAGAGTATTTATCATCAAAAAATAGTTCCTAAAATTATGTGTCTATTAGTTAGTAATATCCAGGTGGTATAGGCTTAAAAAGATGGCAATTTGAACCCATTCAGTGGCATCGCAGAAGAAAAGGCCTAGCACTCTGCTTTTATAAAGATTCCAGCCAAGAAAACCCTATGGAGTTCTACTCTGTAAAACATGAGTCAGAAACAACTTGATGGCAATGTGTTTGGTTTGGTTGGTATTACAACAGAAAGATAGAGGTACAGGAAAATTAGATACCTAAGTAATACTAAAACAGTTTATAAGGCACAAAAAGTGTAAGTTATTTATTTCTACAGTTAAGTAATTTCCTAAGTGTTTTCTTTTTTTAAAGATGTATTAATTCACTTCAGAAAACAGTATAGTTTTGAAAAATATTTTTTAAATTAATGTTTACTGAGATATACTTCTTTTTTAAATTGCAGTGTGATATATATAATAAAACATTCATCATTTTAACCATTTTTGATTGTGCAAGTCAGTGACATTAATTACATTCACAATGTTGTATAAGCAATACCATGATCTGTTTCCAAATTCTTTCATCACCCCTTAATCAAAACTCAGAACCCCTTAATCAAAGCCTTTCCATTTCCCTTTCCCACTCACCCCTAGTAAACACTAACAAACTTTGGTCTGTATGCACTCGCCTATTGTAGATATACTATTTATGTTTTATCAACGTAAATCAGTACTGGAAAAAATTCTAACTCATAAATAATGCCCCTAAAGGTCTGTAACTTAAAGGTATCCAAGGAAGACAGTAAGACATGGTTTGATACTTACATGCCTTAGACCCTGGCGCTGGGGGCACTGCATTCTACTGGTATTTGGTTGAGGCTGAGTAGTCTGCATATGAGGCCTAAACTGTGGCTGAGACATGGGCATCAGAGGTGGAGGAGGAACAGAAAGGTGGTGGTGATGCTGATGCTGCTGGGGTTGATGTGGAGGCTGGTGCTGTGGCTGATGCTGCGGCTGGTGAGGAGGCTGATGCTGGGGAGGAGGCTGATGTGGAGGCTGATGTGGTGGTTGGTGTTGGGGCTGAAGCGGGGGCTGGTGCTGGGGCTGGTGCTGATGATGTTGTGGTTGATGTTGGGGCTGCTGCTGTTGATGCTGAGGTTGTTGCTGTTGAGGCTGAGGTTGATGTGGCGGTGGCAATGGAGGATGCAATGGCCCCTTCAGGTTCAAAACAAAGAGAAACAAGTTTATAAATATGCATACTTAATTATATTCCAATTCAACCATTTACTTGAAAACCTCAACACAGCAAAGAAGCTAAATGGTACTAAAATTTCATGTTAGATTACTACCATCTTAAATTTTTATATTTGTCTTAAACCCTTTCAACCTAGTAATGCTAGGAATTTATCCTAAGAAAATAACTAAGAATGCCAGCAAATATTTGACCTCAAGGATATTCTCTATATACTGATTATAATACCAAAATATTGAAACCAACATACATGTGCAGATATAGATAGCCATAAAATAAAATCTTGTGCAGCATTTTAAAATGATGTAGTAAAAATAATTCACTGGCACAAAAAGGTATTAATGATATATTACCTAGAAAGGTGGGGGGGATGTGATGAGAATACATGCATTAAAAGAAGACAGAAAAAGATATATATCTAAATGTGAATGGTAATTGTTTCTGGGTGACGGAATTATTTAATTTCTTTCTTTTACACTAATCTATATTCTAATATTTCTGCAACAAGAATGTATGAATTAAGTTTTAATTTTTCTTTTAAAAATAAATGCATTTTATTCTACTTTGACACCTTAAACAATAATTTTCTGTTTTCAGTTTAGACACATATTTTCCATGTGTTTCTAAATAGCTGACTGAAGCTTACCATTGCTATGTATTTTAACAGCATATTTTAAATAAAAGAAGAAATACACTGGGTAAGAAAAACATCACAAATACTCAAGTCAACCCAGGAAATATAATTCCATCAGCAGAGGGCACTCAAGTCTTTCAAATAATGAGTGAATGACAACAATTCTTTTCTCTGCACAAAGAATTTTCTCACCGTACCTTGCAAGAACGTAACTTAACAAAGTACCCAATTTCCACTGGCAAAAACCTTTTAAGAAATCTTTTAGTGGTGAGCAAATGAATTATCAAAAAATATCCTGATTTTATTAGCAGTGCATCCTTTTAAAAATCTTAGTACTAACTTTTTTCATTTCCTAAAAGATGACACTTTTTTCGTTTTTCCTACTATTACGGAGATAAACGATAATGCCAAGAATGTGTTGTCTTTAATAAATAGCACATTTAAGGAAAGTATCATTATTTCTAGGAGCTGGTGGCCTAGAGCCTAAGGCATCAGACTGCTAACCAGAAAGCTGGTGGTTCAAACCCACCAGCCACTCTTCAGAAGGAAGGTTGGGCAATCTACTCCTGTAGTGATACCGCCTCGGAAACCCAAGGAGGGGTTGCTATTAGTTGGATCCAACTTGACGGCAGTGTGCTTTGTTTCTTGGTTATCATTATTCCTATATAATTTTTACACAATAAAAATTTAAAACTTCACTTTTATGAAACACAAAGATTTAAAGTTACATGTACCTTTTTTTTAAAAAAAAGAAATTTTACTCATGATGAATACCTGCAGATTAGGCTGTGCATGTGCTGGTAGAAACGGCTGTCCCGGGCCAGGCAAGAATGGCTGTCTAGGAGGAATGAAAGGCCGCGTATTTGCTGATCCTGGCTGGCTAAAGTGAAGAATCCCCACAGGGCCTGGAGGCTGAAGATTTGGTCTTACGGGCCTTTCTCTCGGAAATCCTGGTTGCTGCCCTTGCTGATTAAATGCTGGTCCAGGTTGAGTGAATGGTAAAGGACTCTGAGTAGGAACAGGATGACTACTGTTAAGAAGTGTAGGAGGAGGTGGTGGTGGAGGGGGACTTCGCTGCTCCAGAAAAAGATGACTTGGGAACCTTGGTTCACCTGAAACTAAATGGTGGTACAAGCAACATTACCTTCTGGGTAATAAAAGATGCATTTCTTAAAAAAGCAATTTTACATATTGCCTAAATATGGCCCAAAGTTTCAGGAATGAACGCTGAAAACAAATCAGAATTCTCTATTTTTCCTCTTATTTCTAAATTGCTTCACTAGTTATTTTCTATAAATTTTTTTTTTTTTTTTCCCTTCTTTATGTGAGATTTCCACATTTCAGATATCAAAAATACCCAATTTCAGCATCTGAAGTGTCAGAAAGAAAGAAGAGGTATGGTACATTCTTAGCAAAATCCCCTACTGGGAGTTGGTTTGAAAATATAAGCGTGTTTTGTTACATTTCTCTGCACCATTCTTTATCTACCTCCTAAGAAGAAAGGGTCTCGTTCCTGAGGAGGGGGTGGGGCTCTCCATTGGTCCTGAAGAGGAAGTCGTGGGGGCTGGCTAAAATTATTGGGAACAGGCCCAGGCGTATGCTGTGGAAATTCTGGAGGGCCCTAAAAAACAAGAAGAAAACAGAGTGAATAGGCAGAAAGACAATCTATAATTTTCAGAAATACATATTTGGCTCTAATTTTTTTTCTGAAAATACTGAATAGCTTATCTCCTATAGTTCATATAAGGTGGTAATCAAAATAGAGATTCCATCATAATGAAACAGTCAAAAATCAAAATGTAGTATCTAGAAATTAATTCAACATTTTAACATTTCTACAGAACCACAAGAATATTATTTTTTAAGCTTATCAAAATCCATGCAATTATTGACCTTCTTTCTCATTAATCTGAGCGACTAAATGTCTACTTTGGATGCTCTTGACATTTATCTTCTCAAACCATGCTATTCTTTGCTACCTATTTAACTCAACAAGGAAAAGAAATTCAATTTGTACCGTGACAAAACCAGCAATCTCTGACAAAACAGGAAAATGTAAAATGTTTAAGAAACTGAATTACTACAAATAAAGTTTAGGTAAAAAAATTGAAACATTTTTTTGGTAACCAAGTGCTATTAGAACTCTACAGAAAACCAAAAAAAAAAAGAAGAAAAAGAAAGAAAGAAACCAAACCCACTGCCATCAATTGTGATTCATAGTCACCCTATAGGACAGAGTAGAACTGCCCCATAGGGTTTCCAAGGCTATAAATCTTTATGGAAGTAGACTGTCTCATCTTTCTCTCACAGAGCAGCTGGCTGGGTTAAGAACCACTGACCTTTTGGATAGTAGCTAATGCTTTTAACCATTGTGCCACTAGAGCTCCTCAACTCCTTAGATACAAACTGAACCTAATTCATTTTTCAATTGGCTTTTCAAATATTCATGGATATTTTTTAAACCTTTATTTCAAAAAGAAGTAATTCATTAATTTTTATGTATCATAAAAATAATTTTCACTTAATAACACCTCATCCTATGAAACTGACCCAGTATTTCTCAACTTTAAAAATCATACTCCTTGTTCATAAACTTAAAATTCTAGTGCTTTTCTTTTAATTTTATTACTATACCATTAGCTTTTCCCTCTAAATGTAGCATGATTTTTGACACTATACTTGCTTTCCTCTTCTCTTTAAAAATCTGCCATGTTGAGAGCCACTGCTGAAGTAAGGCATTGTGAGAATAATGTAAGATGAACACCACTTAACCTAAGGTCAATTACTGTAAAGCAAAAATGAGAAGATAATGGGGGGGGGGGCCAGGGAAACCAGAGTACTAGAAGTGAAACAACCAGAAAGCAATTGAAGAGAATGTTGATACACTGTGAAAAACATAATCTTCTGAACAACTGTACAGAACTTATTAAATGGGAACCTAATTTGCTTTGTAAGCATTCACTGAAAACACAGTATTTTTTTTAAAAAAAGAAAACACTAGCATAAATATCAAAACCCATAAAACTGCAGGTTTTATACAGATAAAGTATGTTTAAAATACACATACAAAAAAAAATATTATAATGAATAAAAACACAGATATTAGGTATTTATTGAAATATACGGAATAGGAACACTCAAAGCTTAAGTTCTTATAACTTTTATCATTTTGGGTGAAATCAAAGAAATCTTAACCTTATTAATATTTGACATTTGGAAGAATCACTTCTAACTCTAGATAAATATATTAAGATATAAACAAAGCAGTTAAGTGTTAGTAACTCAGAAAGTAAGATCTATAATTGAGAATATATATTGCATACTCATAGTTAACTAGAAAGTTTTTTTCACTCTTAATAAATGTATGCATTTCATCATAATGTTAATTTGAGACTTTAGTTTTATGATACTTTTGATATGGATATTCTTTTATATTTAGTATCTTTAACTTTGATCATAATGTGGTAGAAAAATTATTTCTTATACGCTATTATACATTATTACTTACTAAATCTGCATTAGTAGGTTCAAGGATTTATCTACTTTCTTCCAATGCCAAATTGTGGTTTAAAAAATACTTTTGTTTTTTTGGTCAAATTCAATGAAAGGCTGTGGAGTGGGTAGATGAATATGTGGTGTGTTTCTGTGTCTCTCACCCAAAATACTATTTTTCCACATAATATGAATGTTCTTTTTACAACATTAATACTCTATCATTAGTTTTATATATCCACTTAATCTTGACATATATAAAGATTTCACAACATGATTAAAATAATCTTAAATACTTTCTGGATGATAATAAATTAGCAGAAAGGTTCTGCTATTTAAAAAAAAAAGATTTAAATGATGTTTCTTGGAATATCACAGAAATAAAACAAAAATTTCACTGTCGTCTAGTTTGCACAGATATTTGACAAGTGACAATACCCCTGATATATTCAACTGGACTATACAAATTACCAAGTGCTGACCTTAGGTAAAAATCATTTTTGAGTTAAACAGTTTGTTTCATTAAACTTTTTTTATGTATATTTGAGTATGTATTTCTTTTAGGGGAGGAGTACACAAAGGAAAAATTTCAAACATATAAATAAAGAAGAGACAAATAAATAAAGATCAAAAGAATAATAAAATAATTTACATTAAAAAATGCAAAACCTATAGATCAAAAGTATGTTACTGAGATACCAAAAAAGGGCAATACCACTGTCTAAAACAAGCTTCTTGTTGTTATTGTTAGGTGCCATTGAGTCAGCTCCAACTCAAGCTAATAGTTGTAAATGGTTAAAAAACAAAACAAAAAAAAACTGATGAAATTTAAATTCTTTTAAAAACAAAAAAACGTGTAGAGTCAAGAATAGCTTTAGTTTATTAATAGGAAAACTAATGTTAACAGTTATATGAAAAAATATTTCCAACCTTTACAGTGTGATAATAAATTATAGCCTTCTTCAAATATTGAAGTAGTGGTCATTTATAAGAAGGTTTATTTTGGTTTGCATCAACTGACTAAAATAGACTGCTAGATACTAGTTTGTTGGGGACAGATTTCAATTCAGTTAATACCAGGAAGTAACTCAGATTCTAACTTCCAACAATGCTATCCTGGAAAAGCTATATAAAAGTGCTTCAACTACAGAAGGATTCAATCAAAAGGATTACCATCTGTCAGGGATAATCTAAATGTGAACTGGATTTGTTACCTTTTAGAATCTATGCCACCTCTGAAATTTTTAGGTTATGTTTTTAGGATCATGGAAAGAATTAAAAGATATATGAGCAAATGTGGGCTAGACGGGGCAATTTGCAATGTAATTTAATGGTACATTTGCCATGCTGGGATTTGGATGGCCTCAGGACTGGGTCAGAGGGAGATTAGGAGAACAACTTGGATGAAATACCTATTTCCAAAATATGGTACTAGGCAGCTACCCAGAAACAGATTATTTAATTGAATTAAAAGTCCATTTTCTTGCTGCTCTGGCTGGACCTAATGCCTAGTGGAACCTGGATCAGGAGACTTGAGAACAAAAGTCAGAGCCAAGGTTGGAGCTTGGGAAGGGGGTTTTGAACCAAGGAACAGACAGGTTTCGAGTGATAAGACAGAAAAGTACCAGGAGTACGAAGAGGAAATAATAATTTCCACTAATCAAAGATTTTCAGCCTTTCTGTATCTGACCCAACACTCCTTACCACTACTTACTGTAATGAATCCCAGATAATTTAAATAAATAATGCTGGTGAATCTAACACAAGCCAGTCAAAAATGAATGCTTTACAAGCATATACTTCAAGTAAGAACCAATGGGGACCAGGAAGATCCCAGGTCTACTGGCAGAGATAAAGAACCAGAGGGTCAAGGAATTCCTAATTAGACAACAGTAACTGCTATCTGTTTACTTAGTGAGTACTAAGCCCTTTGTTCACAGATGGGGAAACTGAAACTAACTTAAGACGTGAAATAGTTTCCTCAAGGTCACACCATTATTTTAAAAGTTTAAAATCATATTATGTTCACTCAACCACAAAGATTTCAATACTCAAGAAAAACAAGTTAAAGCTCACAAAAAGATTCATTTTATTCATAACAAGTACAAATGCAGCAGAAGTTTTCAACCTATGTAGATTTTATTAAAATTATTAAATTCAGAGATTTTTTTTAAAGCCACATATTTCCCTAATTTAGGCATGAAAAAGGTAGTCTACACTCAACTCTCTGGAAGATCTCTGGAAACTTCATCACATCATATGCAAACTTCCTCATTCCAACTATTTCTTTGGAAAAGGCTCACTCTATCTCTTGCCTCCCTCAGCCCAACTGAGAAATCTGTGGGTACGGAAAATGCCCCTCTTGCAATTCTTTTTATAGAACCTCCATTTTCTCCTGCTCCTACTTTATTCTCTTCCTAGTTGCCTGACAGGAGCTCTGGTAGCATAGTGCCTAAGGCACTTGACTGCTAATCAGAAGGCTGGCGGTTCAAACCTACCAGCCACTCCTTGGAAGGAAGATGGGGCAATCTACTTCCATAGTGATACTGCCTCGGAAACCCAAGGAAGGATCGCTATGAGTCGGGTCCGACTTGACGGCACATAACAACAACAGTTGCCTGACAGGAGCACTGGTGGTGTAGTGCCTAAGGCATCTGACTATTAATCAGAAGGCTGGCAGTTCTAACCCACTAGCTATTCCTCAGAAGAAAAGCTGGGTAATCTACTTCCGTAGGGATACTACCTCAGAAACCCAAGGAGGGGTTGCTATGAGTTGGATCCGACTCCACGGCAGTGTTTGGTTTTTTTTTTTTTTTGTTATTGTTGTTAGTTGCCTGACATCAGTTCTTTGCTACCTTTCTCTTCCAGAAGATTTACCTTGCACACTGGCCATAGGGCATTCCAAATGTCCAGTTCCTCTATCCCTATAGCCAGATTCCTCAGTATTACTGGATGGAAAAAATCTCATTATAATGAATTGGAATCATTAAAAGTTTATGTTTAATTTTAACTGGTCCATCAATGTCACTTGGCAAAGTTTTTCACCTGTTCCTGGTCAGTGCCTTCTCCTACCCCTCATAATAATTTAGAATCTTTTGCCATCTTCTAGTCCCTTATCCAACCATTTAG